GCCTGTAGTCCCAGCTACTTGGGAGGCTGAGGTAGGAAAATCACATGAACCCAGGAGGCAGAGGTTGCAGTGAGCTGAGGTCTTGCCATTGCACTCCAGCCTTCCAGCCATGGTGACAAAGTGAGACTCCATCTCCAAAAAAGAAAAAGAAAAATACTAATACTGGGTCTGGCCCCAAGTCTTACTCTACAAGGCACAAAACACTTGGCTCCTGTATTTCCATCTCTGGTCATTTGCTTCTATACAAATGACCTCATTTCATCCTCAAAACTTCTAATGAGATAGTGGGCAGTCATCAGACCCACTTTACATATAAGGATATCAAGGAACAAAACTGTCTGGGTGACTCATCCAAGGTTAAGGCAAGAACCTAGAACACCCAGCTTCTGGTCTGGTGCTCTTTTAACCTCATCCTATTGTCATGTTCAGGTTCTAGAATGAATAGGTCAATGCTGTAAGGTGGGTTCCAAGTGTAAAGAGGAGGGTCTATGAGGTGACGTTCTAGAAGGGCGAAGAAGGGAGGATAGGAGGCAGATTACTATTCCCTCACAAACCGGGGCTCTGGGGAAGCCATGTCCTACTTCAGGACTCCACAAACTCATCCAGGTCCTCTGCCTTCTGGCCAAGGTGAGCAGGGGGCACCTGCAATTGGAGGGAGCGCTGCAGCTTCCCCTGAGAAGTTGCTTTCTGGCTCTGGGGAGGTGGTGGTTCTGCTGGGCATTTGGGGGCTGTCCCTAGAATCAATTCTTTTAGAAGAAAAGCCATTCCAAATGTCCTTGCCAATCAATAACTACCTGCTTGCTCACTATTCATTAATTCAACAAACACTTCTCCATCACCTACTCTGTGCTGGGGACTGGGAGTGTGGATATGAGTAACACCTAGTTCCCAACCTCTAGACAGTCCGCTGGGGCTGGTCTTTGTTACTCCCCCAAGCTCTGCTCCCATGCCCTGCCCCTCGGGGGCCCCTCCTCAAAGAGACCGAGAATAACGTTCCATTTCATTCCTGTCTCTGCAGGTGGGACTGCTTCTCCAGGCCTGTCCCTTGGCCTCTGTAGTCCTATAGAG